AAATTGAAAATCTTGTTCAAATCTTTTCTGCCCTTTTGTTTTACTTCACTTTCAATTTGCTTCCTTTTGATCGGCTTTTAGGTCAAGTTTCTTCTGCATTCACTTTATTACTTATTTTTTTGATAGACATATTATGCACGGATAGATTTCTTTTACACTGAACAAACATTTATATTTCCATTTATTTTGGTTTTGTTGAAGTGCTGTCATTGAGTTGGATGTGTTACTCTTTGGTTTTGGTTAAGTGCTCATTGGGTTGGATGTATTTAAATGAAATCCATCTACTGATTTAGTAATGCCATTGGGTTGGGTATGTTTGACTGATGCACCAATCATTTGATCTGCATTAATCTTACATGTCTATAATGTATATCTTGATAGATTGCGATCGTTGGATTAGATCACAGGGTGGAAAATCGCGACAGACGTTGCTGAGTCACTATGTTACTTATCATGAGTTGCTTTTTCATAAGAGTAAAAAGTTTAGCTACATAATTTCGGTAATTTGTCATTGTAACAATAAATTTTATGAAAAAATATAAAACTTTTGTACAACTTGATTTTATTTCGATGAAACGATATTTCGGGTACAATCTCTATTATCTCATCTGATTCTTCTCTTCTTGAATTTGGATTGGATCTTCGAAGTCAGATTTGGACTTGGATCTTCTTTGGGCTTGATTTTGACTTTTCCTAACATTAATTTGGGGATCGAGTGACTTGTTCCCATATTAAATGTTTGGACGTGACTGGATTGAAGAAGACTTCTTGGAGGACTTATTTATTTTATCTTCTTGAAAGGCGGATTTTAACTTGAATAACATTGACTCGAGGGCTTGATAGCTTTTTCCCGGATCAGACGCTATGTTGGTTGAACTTTTCGACGAACGCGGCTTGAATGTCGTTTGAACGCCGTTGATATTCTTGGATTGATGAGAGGAGTGGAAGTCGTCTATTTAGTTCTTGGGGAAGAGCCGCCGCCTCTTTTTCTTCTTCTTGGCCTTCTTCTTCATTGAATGAACTTGGTTGCGGGTTGAACGCCGATCTTCAACTTGAATGACCTTGGATCTTCAAGAACACATTTGGATCTTCAAGAAAATTATTGAGAGCTTTTGAACTTGAGATTTTGATGTATGAGGTGTGTTTGATTTTTGAGGTGTTGGATTTTTTGAGGTGTCTTAGGTGTGATTTGTGACTTTGATGAGAGCCCTATTTATAGGTGTAGGAGAGAGAGTCTTGGAGAAGAAGACATCAATTTGATTGGTCCTTCTTGATTTGATATAATCTTTTTCCTTATACTAGGATTTGTCATAATCTCTTTCCTAATCTTAAGATTTGACTTGGTGGACAAGAAATAATAATATTACTAATTATATATCTTATTTATCATGGATTTATGTCCAAAAAATAAACAAAGACATTAATTTATAAAATATTAAAATTTCGATGCCTACAAATGCCCCCTTGAGACTTGTTCACGGACAAAATGTCTTGGTAGTGAATGAGTCCTAAAATTTTGAATTTGATTTGGACATGCAGATAGTTTAAACTCTTATCTAGGAGTTCTTCGACTTAAGTTTGTAGATAGTTTAAACTCATATCATGGAGATTTTCATTTGACTTGATTTGCATATAGTTTAAACTCTTATCAAGGTCTCTTGATTTGATTTGACAGATAGTTTATACTCGTATCAAGGAGTTCTTGATTTGACTTGGTAGATATTTTACCCTCGTATCAAGGAATTTTTATTTGACTTGATACGTAGATAGTTTATACTCGTATCAAGGAGTTCTTTATTCGATTTGATTTATTAGATAGTTTATACTAGTATCAAGGAGTCCTGATTTAATTTGACAGATAGTTTATACTCGTATCAAGGTGTCTTCAAATTTGTAGACATTTTATGCTCGTGTCAAAGAGCATTCAAATTTGTAGACATTTTATACTCGTGTTAGGAGCCTTCGATATTTGACTTGTAGACCTTTTATTCTCGTGTCAAGGAGATCTTGATATGTTAACATTTTATGATCGTGTCAAGGAGCCTTCAAGTTTGATATGTAGACCTTTTGTTCTCGTGTCAAGGAGATCTTGATATGTAACATGTAATGCTCGTGTCAAGGAGCCTTCAAGTTTAATATGTAGACCTTTTATTCTCATGTCAAGGAGATCCTGATATGACATTTTATTCTCGTGTCAATGAGATCTTGATATGTAGATATTTTATGCCCGTGTCACGGAGCCTTCAAGCTTGTAGACATTTTATGCTCATGACAAGGAGCCATATAGATAGTTTAGCCTCTTATCAAGCAGAAATGTTGATAGTTTAGGCTCATATCAAAGAACATTGTAGAGTTTAAGCTCGTATTAAGGAGCATTTGAATTTGATATTTGGATAGTTTTAGCTCATATCGATGAGCTTTATTGATAGTTTAGGCTCATATCAAGGAGCATTGTAGATAGTTTAAGCTCATATCAAAGAGCGTTTGAATATGTAGATAGTTTAGGCTCATCTCAAGGAGCATTTGAATTTGAGGATTCGATGGAGCTCTTCATGTAAATTGCCCCCATGGAATTTGAGAAGAATATGGAAGACCACTTTTGTTTCTTCCATTCGGATGTTTGAAGGATTTTCAACGATTTTCGGTGGCTTAGTGGCTTAGGGAGACATCATCCTTCGTTGCCCCCGTGTATATTTTCTTCAAAGAGGTCTTCATGCATCTTCAAAGATCCCCGAACTTGATTTGAATAGGAGAGCTGAGAGGTAGAGAAGGTCTCACCGGGCGTGCCAAATTTGTAACAACAAATTTTATGGGAAGTATAAAACTTTTGTACAACTTGATTTTATTTCAATCAAACGATATTGTGGGTACAATCTCTATTATCTCCTCTGATTTTTCTCTTCTTGAATTTGGATTGGATCTTCGAAGCTGGATTTGGACTTGGATCTTCTTAGGGCTTGATTTTGACTTTTCCTAACATTAATTTTGGGGTCGAGTGACTTGTTCCCATATTAAATGTTTGGACTTGACTTGATTGAAGAAGATTTCTTGGAGGACTTATTTATTTGATCTTCTTGAAAAGCGGATTTTGACTTGAATAACGTTGACTCGAGGACTTGATAGCTTTTTCCCGGATCAGATGCTATGTTGGTTGAACTTTTCGACGAACGCGGCTTGATTGTCGTTTGAACGCCGTTGATATTCTTAGATTGATGAGAGGAGTGGAAGTCGTTTCTTTACTTCTTGGGGAAGAGCCACCGCCCCTTTTTCTTCTTTTTGGCCTTCTTCTTCAGTGAATGGACTTGGTTGAGGGTTGAATGCCGAACTTCAACTTGAATGACCTTGGATCTTCAAGAACACCTTTGGATCTTCAAGAAAATTATTGAGATCTCTTGAACTTGAGATTTTGATGTATGAGGTGTGTTTAATTTTTGAGGTGTCTTAGGTGTGTTTTTATGAGGTATTGGTGTTTGAGGTGTTGGATTTTTTGAGGTGTCTTAGGTGTGATTTGTGACTTTGAGGAGAGCCCTATTTATAGGTGTAGGAGAGAGAGTTTTGAAAAAAAAGACATCAATTTTATTGGTCCTTATTGACTTGATATAATTTCTTTCTTTATCCTAGAATTTGGTATAATCTCTTTCCTAATCTTAAGATTTGACTTGGTGGATAAAAAATAATAACATTATTAATTATATATCTTATTTATCATGGATTTATCTCCAAAAAATAAATAAATTCATTAATTAATAAAACATTAAAATTTCGATGTCTACAAATAAATTTGTAACAACAAATTTTATGAAAAAATATAAAACTTTTGTACAACTTGATTTTATTTCGATCAAACGATATTGCGGGTACAATCTCTATTATCTCCTCCGATTCTTCTCTTCTTGAATTTGGATTGGATCTTCGAAGCCAGATATGGACTTGGATCTTATTTGGGCTTGATTTGGACATTTCCTAACATTAATTTGGGGGTCGATTGACTTGTTCCCATATTAAATGTTTGGACTTGACTGGATTGAAGAAGATTTCTTGGAGGACTTACTTATTTTATCTTCTTGAAAGGCGGATTTTGACTTGAATAACATTGACTCGAGGGCTTGATAGTTTTTTCCCGAATCAGACGCTATGTTGGTTGAACTTTTCGACGAACGCGGCTTGAATGTCGTTTGAACGCCGTTGATATTCTTGGATTGATGAGAGGAGTGGAAGTCTTATTTATTATGGATTTATGTCCAAAAAATAAATAAAGACATTAATATTTTGAAGTCTACAGTCATAGTTATTTTTTTACTCAATTTGAACATTGTCGTGGGCCGGCTGTGCTCCTAGTTTTCTTATAAATTGTAGTGCTGGCGCAAACATTAGAATAATTGACACCCCTTGTCTCTTGCTACAAACTGTTTACATCAATGCAGTTGAATATTATTTAGTCAATAATGCAAAACATATTTCCACTAATACTCTCTTTTCTAGACTAACTTGGCTCCAATAACTGTTTTCCCGCTTCTGCTTTTTTAATTAATTTTTTTTCTGACAGTTTTTCAAGAAACTCGATAGATGTGTTGGTTCAGTTTCTTATGCAGTTTTTTGGTTCTTTCTCGTCTTCTTCGATTTTTTAAATATGGAAAAGAAAAAAGTTCAAGATAAAGAAAAAAAATTCTTTGATCAATCTTCAGAAGATGTATCTAATTCAGAGTGTAGTGAAGATTATATGAGTTCTGAGTATTGTATGTCCGAAGATGAAATTGTTCCCCAATAGAGGGTTCCTAATTTCCATTAGAAATCGAAGAATGAAGACCGAAAACATCTTTTTCGTGGTGTTCTTAGAAAAAAAGATTCAAAGATCTCCAAAATTTATATAAAAAATCAGTCTCGCATTTTTGACAAACACATCTCGGATGCTCATCTGAAGGTATTTTTTCGTTTCGACAACCTTATGTTTTATCATATTATTTATATTATCTAATTAGTCTGGATTGTGTTTTTTTTTTATGTACCTTTCTGGGATCTATATAATCCTGTTTATAAGGGTTTTGAAACTTGGTTGCAAACGGGTTTATTTATTTAATCTAAGAAATCCGATTCTGGGTAATTTCTTGTGTACCATTCTTGATTCTACTGTATGTTACCATTTCATTTTTTTTTATCACCAAGTTTTATTTAAGTAAATTGTCAGTTGTTTTTATTGTACATTTCATGTTTATGTTTGCTTTAATATTTTTTTTTTCAGCATATTGATGAGATTTTTTATTATCTAAGAAATATGCCATTTCATCACCTGCCGAATATTGTTGAGAGTGTTACCACGACTGATATTTTGTTTGATCAAAGAATGAAGAATTCATATGATAAGTTTCTTTCTCATAGGCTTTGGAGTGCTATATTGTGCTGCTACCTAGGTTTCTTTGATGGATTGGGATTAATGAAAAAAAGTATTTATTCATTGGTGACGGAGCGCATGCTGAGATAAAGTTTTCGGACCCGATTGAAATTATTTTCGTTATTGATTTGCCGACACAGGAAAAAGGGTAAGTTAATGTTTTTTTTTTTGTTTAAATTTGTGTTTTTTTAAATGAACTTTTGTTTTTGGTTTCTGACTTGTTTGTCAGTAGAAAACAATTTTAAAATTTGTTTCTTTGTAGTGATTGTGGAATTTTTGTGCTGCATTTGCGGAGTATTTCATGAAAGGAATGGACATTCAAATTGATTTACAGGCGGAGTATTTACGAAATAGATACTCTTATTTGCTATATGAGCATGGATGAAAAAAGTTGTCCAAAGGTTATGAAAGTGAAGACCAGTCCTCTGGAAGTATGCTTCGTCATTGTAGGATGTCGATACAAGATGTTTGGCTAAATTTGTGATTTTCAAAACTCTCTGTTTGTTAGATGCATAGCTGTTAGGTGCATTGTAGGAAACATTCATATACATGTTGCTTTTGTTTTTCTGGGATGGTAGTTTTATATGAATGTTGATTGATTTTTTTTTATTCAAATTTTCATTTTCTTAGTTGTTTTTATGTTAATTGTTCTATATTAATATGTTGTTTTACTGTTATTTAAATTACGTTCTCATCCTATATTTGAAATCATGCTTAAACTCGTTCATGTTTACTTTAATTTACTTAAACAATAATTTTTCGTATATTTTAAGTCATTGCTTTTACAATATGCAGGTATAAAACCACATCATTCAATGTTCATTAAAATATTAAAAGTTTCACAATTCCTTTAATTAGAGTCATCAACATACTTTATGGAGCTTCACATTCATTACAAATTTATTTCTTCATTGTACAAATATTATTTTAGGATTTTTTAATAAAAATCCACTCAATCTTGTGTTCCATGCACTTGTGTACATTAAAGACTGGCCACAAACATTATTTATGTTAGTAGATATCTGTACTTCATTTTTTTGAACTTATCATATTATCAATGAAATATATTCCCTGCTATTGACTTATTTCTTTCAAACTAAACTATGTATAATTCATCTTTACAAATCGTATTTTTTTTTTTTCTATCAATTTTCATATATAAATTAAAATACAAAGTTATAGAATTATAAATACACCAATATATTGTTTGTTAATTTTTTTTTAATTGAAAGTACATTAATAAATAAGACATGTTCTTCATCCTCATTCTCTTACGAAAAAACAACTACACCTGCAAACATCATCTTGATATCGGCATTATTTTTTAATTCCGTGCTCCCAACCGGATAGGAATCGTTTCCTTTTTTTCCTTCCTCTCACCGAAATTTCTTCCGGTGGAACTACTTTGGTCTCATTTTCTACGCTTGCACCAGCATTAATAAGATCCAAATCAACAGGGAGTACAGTCGTATCATATGTAGCTAATAAGGTGCTATTTAAATAAAAATGAGAACAATAAACTTCCGGTTCCTCATGTTTTCCTTTCACGACACTTATTGTATGTTCACAAGGCAGTTCTTCCATTTGAAACTTGTTACAAGTACAAGTACGTGCCTTCATATTCACAATGAATATTTGAGGACCACTCTTCACTTTGTATACATCCTCACTTGCTTGTTGCACCTGTTTATTATTTTTAGATAGTGTTTTTTTATCCCAAAATAAAATAAAATAAATATAACTATGAAATTATAAAAAGCTTACTTACAGTGAGTTTTGTAGAAGATTCATAATTCCTTTCTAGCTTCTTTTGTCCCATTTTTGCAAGGATAGTAAACGTGTTTTGCGCCTCTGTCCTGTTTTTCATATTCCAAGCTTGTTGCATTCCACGAATATTCTCCAATAATTGAGTGATAGGAAGCTCCCGTGCAGCCTTCATGGTAGAATTTATTGTCTCTGCTGCATTTGAAGTCATAACAAAAAATCTATTTGACTTGCAATGTAAACGAGACCATTTTTCTACACCTAATTCTGTCAAATATTCCAATGCCTTTTTGTTCGCTTTCTTCATTGTCACCATGTGATGGCTAAACTCATCATTTGTGTAAGCATACGTTGCTGAAAAGAATGCTCCTTTCACTACTTCAAGATTTTCCTTGAAGTTTGTTATGATATTCTTAGACAAATGATATACACAGTGACAATGAGAAGCCTCTGGAAATATCTGCAATTCATCACATCAATAATATTAACATAATATAATGTAATTTCATATTAAAAATATATATTCAAATTTCTAAAGTATATAATAAGTTTTTTTATCGATTTCTCAAAGTTGTTTTGTAAAAATTTTTAATACTTTATCTAATCTAATTCTTTTGTTAACAGAGTATACATATAAATTCATATATTACCTGTTTGACAGCATATATTATGCTAGCATGTCGATCTGAAACAATGCATAAATTATTTCTCTCCGATAGTGTCGTCTTCAAGTTTGAGAAGAACCATTGATATGCATTATTGTTTTCAGAATCGACAACTCCATATGCAAGAGGTAGTATGTGGCCAGCTGCATCTTGAGTGCTTGCTGTTATGAGTGTCCCTCCATAAGCTGCTTTCAGGAATGTACGGTCCACTATTATTATTGGACGACAATGATTCCAACCTTTTCTAGATGCTTCCATTGATATGAAGACATACTCAAACCTATTTGACTTGTCAGTCTTTAGCTTCACAAATGATCCAGGATTAGCTTCTACCAGTTTTTCGAGATATAGAGGCAGCACTATGTAGGATTGGTATGGATGACCATAAACCTTTTCTAGTGCTTTTTGTTTGGAACGCCAAGCTTTTTTGTACGACAAATTAACTCCACACATATTCCTCATGTCTCGTATAACATCTGCTGGAGTGTAATTTGTTTTCAAACTATCAAACTTGTCCTGAATGAATGTTCCAACTATATTTGTTGTTGCTTGCCTCTTCTCATTCATCCGATTCCCAAAGCTGCATCTATGTTCGGTTGTCACTTTTCGAATTTTGAAAACGGGACTTGTGCTGATTCTGGAAGCTTTCAATCTCCATGGGCAATCATTGTTAATGCATCTTATGTCATATTGCCTCTGACATGACTTCACAACCATGAATTGAAAATGATGTTTAATTGCATACAAGCTTAAAAAAAAATTCAGGTCATCCTTGTTTGAATAAATCTGACCAACTTCAAGCTTTCCATCAAGATTGCCCGACAGTTTCGCTCCATAAATCTCATGTTTCTTTTCTGCAAAATCCATTCTTTCACTTGCAATTTCAACGAGATCTTCTGAATATTTGCAGCCATACTCAAATATGTTTTGATTTTGATTACCTTGCCTTTTGAAATCATCAAAATCTATCATCTGGAGAGGCTGTATCTCAATTGCATCTATTTCCATATTTTCGGAAAAATTGGTTACTGTCAAAGCAAGTGTTTGCTTAGCTTCCAAAGTTGCACACAGAGGGAATTTCGAGAAATCTGCTTCTTTTATCCTCAATTCTTTGTAAATCTCCAAGCTCATCTCGTTGCTAAGCGTTATTGGCTTCACCCCTTCTTTTATCTGATATTGCAACTTCAATAGCTTTTCAGATGAATTGATTTCCATCATCTTTTTTATTGCTTCTTTTAAATCCTCCAAACCTTCATTCTCTTTATGGAAAACACCACATACGTGATATCCTTCATAAGTAACATCATCGGTCCAATCTCCATTGCAATAAACTAAAATAATATCTTTGCTCATTCTTTCTGCAAAAAAATAAAAAAATAAAAAAAATATCAGCGTTTTTTCTTTAAAAAAAAAACAGATAAAATCAATAACTCTTCTGTAATACTCAAGGACCAAATTCGAACATCAAACTTTTGATTACATGTTGTAATAACGTACCTCAACAATGAATTTGTTTTCCGTTCAAGTTTTTTCTTCTATTCTTTATGGTTTTTTTTTTTGCTCCCTGATTAGACGTGTCTTCTCCAACTTCTGTATTTTTTTTTTCTGTTTTTATTCGTTTACATAAAAATTGTATAGCAGTTACTTTTTTCAAAATAATTGAACAGTTACTTTTTTCCCTCCCCTGTTTTAATTAACTGCTGTTATTATTTCAAAATCATTGAACAGTTACAAATATTTGCATTTATGGAATTCTAATCCGGTAGCCTTTTTTTGGAATAGTTTTTTAATTACGTGGCAGTTAAGAATTTTCGCCCAAACATTATGGTAGATTTATTGTTGGGCCTTCACATCAATGGGGTCAAGAATAAAATGAGTATTCTGCTTAGTTTTTTAGGCCCAACTAGTTGGTAACAATAGCGTGGGCCTCCAAATGTCCATTGAATTTTCGGACCTAAGGTATATAAGGGAATGTCTCTTTTTAATGCAGCCCAGATTTGAATCTAACTGCATAAATTGGAATGTGATGTAGTATGTCAACACTATATACCCTCACATCAAACAGAAAAAATATTTATTTATTTTTTTGCATTTGATGTTCATCACAATGGTTGATATTGTCATTAAAATCTCATATAGGCTATAATCATGATATTGGGATTTTGATAATTTAATAATCCCTATGATTATATTGGGATTTTGATAAAACAATATATCCCTAAATATGGGTCATGGCCACGGGTGGAGGCCATTGTAATGATGGCCATTTTGATTATATCAGCTCTAATAAGACAAAATACATAAGTTTAATCTACAATCAATTATTATGGATGATAATGATGTTGGTTTTAGCATTAATTCCTCGTAATATAGACTATAATAGATTGTAGTCGCACTTTTATAACATGTGGCTACGCTGATTATAGTTTTATAGTTTGTAACTAAGGCCAGGAACAAAGAGTTCAATTGCAGTCACTCACATTTTTAACCCACATATCCAACTTTAACATTTTGTTTTCTCTCTTGAAACTAGATTTTAACTAAAAAATTACTTAATTAATTTACAATAATAATTATAAAATCCTAAAAGCCCAAAGTCCTAAAATATAAAATATCATTTACTGCAATTAGCTCAACTTCTGAACGAAAATGTGGAGATTAAAGTGCACATTATTTCTCTAATCTCTTTGTCTCGATGATTTAGTTGGCCAATTTATATATATATATACTAATACGAATCCCGTGCGATGCACAGATAAGAAATATTTATTAATATTTATAAATTACAAATGATCATTAAATAATATTTATAAATTAGAAATATGGAATCAATATGTATTACAATTTAGCTATATTAATTTATTGAAATGTTATATGAAATTTAAATTATGCAAAATTACATAAAATATGTCTATTTAAAATTAGTACACGACCCGTACGGTGCAAGTAACTGATAATAAGTTACATTATATTCATTTTCAAAAATAGATGTCATTTTAAAATTTTTATTCAGAAATTTGATTTGACTACAATGT